TATTCCCATAGAGCAATTTTGAAATGAATTTGCTAGTAACTTTTAACCTTCTAAATAACTTTGATTACATTTTTCCAGAATATGCGTTCAAGGCCATAAACCAGGGTGGTCTGACATCGGTTGCTGTTCGGGGGAAAGACTGTGCAGTAGTCGTCACACAGAAAAAAGTCCCAGTAAGTCTGCTGTCATGTACCCTTTTTCCACCCCAAATTAGGTGGAAATTCTCTCAGAATCGACTTGAGAAATAAACGATGTTGTAATTGGCTATGTTATAACCTGCCCACAAATAAAGCAACACATACAAACATTCATTTGAATTGGTTTGTGGAAAGGGTGACTTTTATTAATGTTACTGGTAAGTTGAGTTCCAGTGGTGCTGGTGATCGAAGACAGTCTGTGTTTTCCAGGACAAGCTGCTTGATTCTTCCACTGTCACACACTTATTCAGAATCACGGAGAACATCGGCTGCGTGATGTCAGGAATGACAGGTACAGATCTCATCCACATAGTCATTGTCATGATGTCTGCTGAAACTGATGCTCTCATTAATGGCTTGTGTTTTGCGTTCAGCTGACAGCAGGTCTCAAGTGCAGCGAGCTCGTTATGAGGCCGCCAACTGGAAATACAAGTATGGTTATGAGATTCCAGTAGACATGCTTTGTAAAAGGATCGCTGACATCTCTCAGGTTTATACACAGAATGCAGAGATGAGGCCGCTCGGCTGCTGTAAGTCAACACTTGCTGAATTATTAACACACACATAAAGTAGTTTAAAGGGAGCATGTCATGTTTTTGTTTCAATTTTCACCCTGATTTTTGTGCCAAAACAGTCCTTATTCAGAAAGATCTTAAGTCAGAGCAGAAAGTCTTACATTTATAAAGTCATGGCATTAAATGTTGCATGTTTTCAGAACATTTATATATATTTTTTCCCAATACAAATATCTAAACATCTGTAAATCAAGATACATTTACTTGAAATGAAACGATAAGATATAAAGTCTTGTATTCCTAGAAGTTGAACTAAATAAAGTGAGTTTATGCTTGGAACGAGAACCAATATCTGTCAGTGGGATCAGAAAACATGTTTCCCCTTTGAATGAAATACATTTTTCTGAGCCTAAGTTCTTATCTTTTGTCATTTTGCTTCTGAAGTAAATCTTGATTTGAGAATCTATACGCATTTGCACTGGAAACCAAGATACTGAGAACAGTATTTTTTTTTC